TTTAAACCAACAGCCATTATGAATTAGAAACGGAGACAGAGCCGTATCAGGAGACAAATTCCTTTTCAATTAATTTGCAGTCTGGATCAGGAACTGATTTTGACCCAGAATCAAAAGTGGTGAGCGAAGTTCCCCAATAATTTCAAGAGAAAAGAAAAGGTCTTATTTCATCTTTGTAGTAAAGGGCAAATTATGTTGTGTGTGCAAAGAAAAAGAGGAGGCAACTATGCCAGCCAAATTTCCTTTTTTTTTTCTAACCGTTTCCAGAATGCTTTGCTTCAAAACTTTATTCTGTTCTTCCCTTTCTCTTAGAGATACATGAGATAACAGCTGGGAGAGGGGAAAAATGAGGAAATAAATGTGTTAAGCAATCTCATATCTTTGCTTGTTCTCAGAAGCCAATTTTAGCCTCCCACATGGCTGGTTTTTGGTATTTTTTTAAAACTAGAGATAACTCCATATTCCGGTCTGTTTCATATACTTGGGTTATTCCCACATAAGCAGGGAGGTTTATTTGAGACATGGTGGCGCAGTGGGAGGGCACGGATGCCCGCTGCATCTGTTGAGGCACCAAACATACAACTGAAAACAAAGGTGGTTTTGAGTCAGACCCTCACTCTTTCCTGTTTTATCATTTTGCCATATTCTTGAGAATTCAGAAGTCTGGGTCCCGCTTTACAGCCTGGGATTGTTCTAGCGGAGGTGTGGCTTTAATAGCATTATGTCACATTTTAATGTTTTTAATAAGCTTCTCCTTTCTTTCGTATTGTTTCTCTTTTCTCTTTCACCATTTTGCAACCAGCTGATTTTTTTAAAGACAGGGTCTCTGTCCTCCAGCTTCAAGGACTGGGCTACTTCAATCAACAAACAACTGAATCATATCGCTGAAGACCTGGCTTTTTGCCCCATGCACTGGGATAAGATTGGATAATTGCACTGTCATGGTCCTAGGTCTGTTGTTGCTTTTAGTATTTTAATGTGTTCAGTGTTATAATTTTAAAAGGATTTTTATGTCTTGTTATAACTCAGAGTTGGTTGCATAAAAGAGAGAGAGAGAGAGAGAGAGAGAGAGAGAGAGAGAGAGAGAGAGAGAGAGAGAGGAAGAAAGACAGGAAGAATATGGGAAAGGAGGAAGGAAAAAAGAAAGAAATAAAGAAAACAAGAAGAAAAGGAAGGAAGGAGACAGGAAGGAGAAAGGCAAGAATATGGGAAGGAAGGAAGGAAGGCAAGAAAGGAAAGAGAAAGTCAGGAAGAATATGGGAAGGAAGGAAAGAAGGAAAAAGAAAGAAAACAGGAAGAAAAGGAAGGAAGGAAACAGGAAGGAGAAAGGGAAGAATATGGGAAGGCAAGAAAGAAAAGAAGGAAGAATATGGGAAGGAAGGAAGGAAAGAAGGAAAAAGAAAGAAAACAGGAAGAAAGGGAAGGAAGGAAACAGGAAGGAGAAAGGGAAGAATATGGGAAGGAAGGAAGGCAAGAAAGGAAAGAGAAAGTCAGGAAGAATATGGGAAGGAAGGAAGGAAAAAGAAAGAAAACAGGAAGAAAAGGAAGGAAGGAAACAGGAAGGAGAAAGGGAAGAATATGGGAAGAAAGGAAGGCAAGAAAGAAAAGAGAAAAGAAGGAAGAATATGGGAAGGAAGGAAGGAAAGAAGGAAAAAGAAAGAAAACAGGAAGAAAAGGAAGGAAGGAAACAGGAAGGAGAAAGGGAAGAATATGGGAAGGAAGGCAAGAAAGAAAAGAGAAAAGAAGGAAGAATATGGGAAGGAAAGAAGGAAAAAGAAAGAAAACAGGAAGAAAGGGAAGGAAGGAAACAGGAAGGAGAAAGGGAAGAATATGGGAAGGAAGGCAGGCAAGAAAGGAAAGAGAAAGTCAGGAAGAATATGGGAAGGAAGGAAGGAAAAAGAAAGAAAACAGGAAGAAAAGGAAGGAAGGAAACAGGAAGGAGAAAGGAAAGAATATGGGAAAGAAGCAAGGAAGGAGAAAGGCAGGAAGACTATGAGAAGGAAGGAAGGCACAACCTTCAGCAAACCAGCCTCCCTGCAAAAGAAACCCATTCCCACTCATGTGAGCAGACACGTGCCCTCCCATGCAGCTCTCCCCCCCCCAAGCCTCCCTTAAGCCCAAAACCTCGCCCTGCCTTCATTGCAAGGCGAAACCTGCCGAAAGCCCAGCCAGCCCCGTGCAGAAGCGCTGCCTGCTCGCCTTTCCAGGGCGCTCCAGCCCAGCTTCCTTTCCCTCCCTTTTAGCTGGAGGAAGGTATGCGTGTGCGTGCGTGTGTGTGTAAATCTGCAAGCATGCCAACTGGGGCGGCGGGTGGGGCCGGAGGCGAGCCGGAGCGAGGAGAGGGGC